TGGTTATTTGTTAAATAAGACTTATACTTCATAAAACTATAAACCCGAATTCATCAGAAGATCCTAGTGCTGTGAACACGTTCATTTGATCAGGTGAAGAAATGTCTGACAAATAGAGAATAACTCAGAAAGGCTAGTTTTTACTATTTAATCTGGCAGTGTCGTCTGTACCAATGCAATGTAGAGATACTTGTACTTTACTGGAGTATTTCCATTGTTATGCTACTGTGTACTTCTCCTCTACAGTTCAGAGGTAAATGGTGTACTTTTCCTCCACTCCATGTGTAGGAGCCATGATCGCTGTTGATTGGTTGGCTTGGGTCACATGGGTATGGGTGGCACTCATTCTAGCCCTGTTCACCTGTGTGAGGTGAGGGTGTGTGGAAGAGAGGGTGACACGGGGCCGTTGTACTTTTTTGTTGACCGCAAGATTACAATTGCTTCGATTATAACAATGTGTCTGAGAACAGAGTGTTTTCATTAAACTACGAAACAGAGCTTCAGATCTCAGCGAGTACTTCTTTAGCGTGTCAGAGAACAGCAAACAGGCCTCAGCCTCTCAGAGACTCAGTTTGTTTCCTGCTGTCCCTACATTTTGTCAACAACAAAAAAACAACAAGCACAAAAGGCGTAAGGCGATCGTCATCAGCGCATGGATTAAGGATCTATTGGATGAGAATGGAGATATGGAAATAATTCACGGAGGTAAGCACTGGCTGTTAATAGAGACTGCAGCTTGGAAGCCGCATTCAACGCGGATCACAGCCAGGTCAGCCTTACCGCTGCATGTGCACGTATTCACCGCTGTGTGTCTCCACTGTGTAACTCCGCTCTGCCGCGTGGAAGTCGCGCTGCTCTGTTGATGTGGCCATATGGAAATGTGATGCTTTGAAGGAATTGTCTTCCGATCTTTGAGTGTGTTGCAATCAGACGAATGCACTGAGGAAGCTTGATTAAACTGACGGAGAAAATGAGTCAAATAAATGTTGACGTTGAAGGTGTTGAAATGGACTATGGGAAAAGAGAACGCACTGCGAAGGCATTGGTGAATAACATCGAAACACTTCAACGGGAACGTAAAACCAGTGTGAACAAAATAAAAGCACTCATACCAGAAATAAAAGCACACATGAGAGAAAGGGGAAAGGCCTCACGTGTGCAAACTCATTTCAGTGCTTCTCAAAGTGTGGTCCGCGGACCACTGGTGGTCCGTGAGCGCCCCCTAGTGGTCCGTGAGTATATTGGTAAAATTTCACATTTTAAATAAATAAATGTATTTAAGTTTTTCGCACTCTCGCGGCAATATCTCCGTAATGGAACGAGCTTAAGTTTCACTTTCGATTGCATGATATAGCCAAGATAAGCACCTTCATCACACATGTTGCCACTTGTTTGTACAATTTTCAGACGATTTGTAAAAAACGATGTGTTTTTGGATATTTGTGGAGTTAGGTGGTCCGCGAGTGTTTTTTTATTGGTTAAGTGGTCCTTGGTATGAAAAAGTTTGAGAAACACTGATTTAGAGAAATGAATTCAACTGGGTGAAAAGCCATTATCTCACATGAAACGTTGATTCCTTTCCTCCCAGAGGATGAGCTGAAGAAACAAGAGGAATGGTTTGCCAGTATCTTGGAATACAGTGAAAGCTTTCAGAGGGACATTAAACAGTGGTTAAAGGAGCCACAAGAGGATTCTGCCACAATAACTGCTGCTGTGCCGGATTCTCCAACTACAGATGACATGCAAGAGGATCCAAGTGACAGTCTGTCAAACGTGGAGATCGGAAGAAGAGCAACCCGATCACAACATTCTGCTTTGGGGGAAAAGTCTGCAACTTCTACTGCTTCGTCTGCATGCCGTAAAACAGAGGCTGACTTGGCAGCTTTAATGGCAAGAAATAAACTATTAAAGGAACATGAACTGGAGGAAGAGGAGGAGCGAATCAGGAGGAGAAACCACAAGTCCTCTACACGGCTAAGGACAATACAAATGCCCCACAAATGTTGCTAAACCAAAGGGAGGCTAGCAATGACTTCTTGGATCCAACAACACGGCCTAATGAGAACCTGTCACCTTGGTTCCTTTCCTCAGAGCCAGTATCCCATAAAAAATCCACTTTGAAAACACAAATGAATTATGGAGATAGCTTGAACGCAAGTGAAGATCAAAACAACATACTGGGCATTATGAGAAAACCAAATGAGAGGCATTGCTGTTAATACAACAGCAAAGTCTCTCAACCTCGCCAAAGAGACAGATTCCAGTTTTTGATGGCGTTAAAATATCACACACTTATGAAGGCTTTTGAGAATGGTGTTGAGAAAAACACAAACAGCTCCAGTGAGCGACTCTACTTTCTGGAGCAGTACACTCCGGGTCATCCCAGAGGACTTGTTGGAAGCTGCCAGCACATGGATCCAGAGAGGGGATACGTCAAGGCCAAAGCTCTAATCAGGGAGCAGTTTGGAAATGAGCAGAAAGTGGCATCTGCTTATCTGCAAAAGGCTCTTTCATGGCCTCCTATAAGAACAGACGATGTTAAGGCTCTGCAAGACGACAGCTTCTTCCTTCGAGCGTGTGCAAACGCAATGGAAGAGGTGCAGTATTTGCATGAGCTTGACATGGCTGCGAATATGATGATCATAATAAGAAGGTTACCTTTCCATTTCAGAGACAAGTGGAGAGCTGTAGCCTGTGAGCTGCAGGAGAGGAACAGCCGCAGAGCAACATGCTTTGACATCACACACTTCATTGAGAGACAAGTTCAAATCTTAACCGACCCAGTGTTTGGAAACATTCAAGACGCTCCTTTCATAACAACAAATACTGCTTCAAACAGATCTCAGCCTCGCTCACATTCTGTAGGAACTAGCTTTGTAGCTCTTGTAGAAAAAGAAACCCAGACAGATACTGAAGGGAAGGAACACATTCTGACAAGATGGAGGACATGTCTGTGCTGCGGAGGAGGAGGTCACACCTTGGACTCGTGCCATCAGCTTGAAAAAGGAACCCACAAAGAGAAGATAGGCTTCCTGATGGAAAAAGGTGTCTTTCGGCTGTTTGTGTTTGGGGCACATTAGCAGAAATTGCAATAAGCAAATTTCCTGTTCAAAATGTGGCTTCAAACATCCAACCATCCTTCACATCCCTTCCAATGAAGCAAGACACAATGCTGCTCAAGCCAAGAATACATCAGAGCGATCAGTGGACAGCGCACTGTAGGGCTGTGCGATTATGGCAAAAATCATAATCACGATTATTTGGTCAATAATTGATATCACGATTATTTTTGACGATTATTCATTGACCATTTATTGAACTTTAAAACAAATAATATTTTACCAATAAACAAGATCAATAAATGTGTTGGAGCGCACTTCCAAAACCATACTAAACATATATTATTAATATGATAAATAAAAATAAATTAGACCAAAATAAATGAAATCAAACATGTTGCAGTGCACGGTCACAACCTACTGAACACTCCTTAACATATAGCCAACATGTTGGTAAAACATATTCATTATTCCACTCAGTTAAACGTTGAAGGCTGGCCCACCGTCATGGTCCAGAAGTAACAGGAAATAAATGTTGAACTACAATTTAAGACCAAATAAAAATGTTTAGGCCACCAAGGTCACACCATGCTGCTCATGTCATCTCTTAAAGATTTTTTGCAAGAAATACCAGCCTGTTGACATGGTCTGGTTTCAGAGATGAGCGCAGGCAGGTGACGATATTGCCACCTGTACTGAAGACCCTCTCTGAAGAGGAACATGTGGCAGTGCTGCCACATATGACACAGGAAAAAAAGAAAAGACTCTGAAGAACCCTTTCTTTGCCATTATATAAAAATAGTGTTGCTACAAAAGTATAAATGAGGCTTCCTAATAAGACAACTCAGATCTGAAGCTACACAGGAATCTGCTGCAGCAACAGTGCAATAAAAAAGACAACATTAATAGAATCAAACCCATTTTTTGTTGCATTTTATTAGAGTATAAAAAGAAATGCCTTTAAAATAGGATGCAAGCAACACTAGTTTCTGAACTGATAGACTATAATCAATTTAAACAGAACAGATCTTAATGTTTGCATTCTTATACCATTTTGTACAATAATTATCATGAATCAATTCAAACAAACTAAAACTTACAGCTGATTAATAACGGTATCCAAATTGAGTTTTTATTATATCAAAAACCTGTTGAAATGCTGCTGTTATTTTTACTGTCCCACAAAAGCGCGTCGCAGCCTCCAGGAATGCTTCTTTCACAACTTCGCCGTCTTCGAAAGACTTCATGTGTTTCGCAAGAACGTGACTGACACGATAAGATGCTCTGGTAGCAGCCTTGCTCTTGTTGTTGGGCCTGGTGAAAATGAACTGCTGTGCATTTAGCTGTCCTCTCAGGCCCCTCCCCTTTTGGAGCGTAGGGCAGAATTAGGAGGGAATTCCGTCTCGTAGCGTTTGTGCACTGTTTTGAAATGCCGCTCCTAAATTACCCTTCTTCGGTAAAGCCACGCTCGCATTGCAGATGAGACAGATGGACTTTGAATTGGAATAGATACAAAAATAATGATCCTCCCACTCGGAGTGAAAATTATATATTTTGGGCTTTTTTGCTTCTGCCATAATTGCGGTCTTGTGTGTGTGTGGACTGTCACTCCTGTTGACCATCCATGCTGTTGACACGGACAACGTCAGCGAACTAGTGCACTGCTCACCAGCCACGCCGGGACACATGGGGTGAGGCCGGCCAATCACAAAGCTTTGATGCGTTCAAGTGCATTATTCTGGCACGGGAACATTATGTTAAAGGACATTAACGATAAAACAGAATATTGTTGTTCTATTTTTAGACACATCTCGCGATCGACTGGGGATCTCCCCGCGACCCTTCTTTTTAACTAGTTGCTGCTCTTGTTCTGACATCTTCGCTTGCGCTGAACACTCACAACACATGTCACTCACACGTGGCCGAGTGGGCTTTTAGGGAGGGGCGAAAGCGCACCCAGCAAAATAATCGTATTTTGTCAATTATGCTGTTTTCATAATCGTCGCAAACCATAATCGTAATCGCGATTAAAATACGATTAATTGCACAGCCCTAGCGCACTGGTTTCAAGTGGCCTTACAGGGGCTGGGGATGACAACTGTAAACTTCCCATAGTTCCAGTGCAAGTCAAGTCAACGAAGGGCAGCAAGATCGTCACCACCTATGCTTTCTTGGACCCAGGAAGTACAGCAGTGTTTTGTACAGAGGGTTTAATGCATGAGCTCGGCCTAACTGGAAAGAAGGCGCAGATTAGTTTACGAACCATGGGCCAAGAAAGGGCCATAGATAGCCATATTGTGTTCGGACTAGAAGTGGCTGGCTTAACAAATGACAATTTCTGTGAACTGCCACAAAGCTACACCCAGGAGTGCATGCCTGCCAGCAGTGGGAACATTCCTAGACAAGCAGACCTACAGAGATGGCCTCATCTGAAAAATGTTAATTTGCCTGAAATAAATGCAGGGATTGGACTGTTGATAGGAACCAATGTTCCCAAGGCCTTGGAACCATTGGAAGTCATACGCAGTGTGGAGGACAGACCCTATGCAAGCAGGAGAGTGATTGGACCACTAGAAGGAGTGAGTGGGAATGCAATGGACTTTGACAAACCAGAAGTATCTGTGAACAGAATCTCAGTTGTGAATTTGGATGGACCTTGGCAACAGCAGTTCAGCGCAGACTTCCCTGAATGCAGATTGGAGGAACAAGCTGGATGTCAAGAGAGGATCTCAAGTTTAAGAAGTTTGCAAAGAGTGTTTTTTCAGAAGTGTAAAAAGAAAAGTTTTAAAGATGAGAAGAAGCCTCATCTGAAATCCCAACAAAAGCCCTCTCCTTCAACGGCTGCTCAGAAAGGCCCCGCTGCAGACAAAGAAATGGAGAACAGGATGAAGTGGACCAACGTGTTCTACAAGGCCGAAGGACTCGGAGTCAAAGACGACGAGGACATGCTGCGCTCCTCGTTAAAGGAGTGGGGCGATCAAAGCGAGAACATCGTGGAGAAGATGCAGAAACAGCAGGAAGAGACGGAAGAACATCAGTGACATCTTTTCCACAGTATTGACTCTTTCCGACTGACAGACTTAAAGGACACCTAGGTGGTGGTACCTTTGGCCTAACTGACTTAAAGGACACCTAGGTGGTGGTACCTTTGGCCTAACTGACTTAAAGGACACCTAGGTGGAGGTACCTTTGGCCTAACTGACTTAAAGGACACCTAGGTGGAGGTACCTTTGGCCTAACTGACTTAAAGGACACCTAGGTGGTGGTACCTTTGGCTAACTGACTTAAAGGACACCTAGGTGGAGGTACCTTTGGCCTAACTGACTTAAAGGACACCTAGGTGGTGGTACCTTTGGCCTAACTGACTTAAAGGACACCTAGGTGGTGGTACCTTTGGCCTAACTGACTTAAAGGACACCTAGGTGGAGGTACCTTTGGCCTAACTGACTTAAAGGACACCTAGGTGGTGGTACCTTTGGCCTAACTGACTTAAAGGACACCTAGGTGGAGGTACCTTTGGCCTAACTGACTTAAAGGACACCTAGGTGGAGGTACCTTTGGCCTAACTGACTTAAAGGACACCTAGGTGGAGGTACCTTTGGCCTAACTGACTTAAAGGACACCTAGGTGGTGGTACCTTTGGCCTAACTGACTTAAAGGACACCTAGGTGGAGGTACCTTTGGCCTAACTGACTTAAAGGACACCTAGGTGGAGGTACCTTTGGCCTAACTGACTTAAAGGACACCTAGGTGGAGGTACCTTTGGCCTAACTGACTTAAAGGACACCTAGGTGGAGGGTACCTTTGGCCTAACTGACTTAAAGGACACCTAGGTGGTGGTACCTTTGGCCTAACTGACTTAAAGGACACCTAGGGGGAGGGTACCTTTGGCCTAACTGACTTAAAGGACACCTAGGTGGAGGTACCTTTGGCCTAACTGACTTAAAGGACACCTAGGTGGAGGTACCTTTGGCCTAACTGACTTAAAGGACACCTAGGTGGAGGTACCTTTGGCCTAACTGACTTAAAGGACACCTAGGTGGTGGTACCTTTGGCCTAACTGACTTAAAGGACACCTAGGTGGAGGTACCTTTTGGCCTAACTGACTTAAAGGACACCTAGGTGGTGGTACCTTTGGCCTAACTGACTTAAAGGACACCTAGGTGGTGGTACCTTTGGCCTAACTGACTTAAAGGACACCTAGGTGGAGGTACCTTTGGCCTAACTGACTTAAAGGACACCTAGGTGGTGGTACCTTTGGCCTAACTGACTTAAAGGACACCTAGGTGGAGGTACCTTTGGCCTAACTGACTTAAAGGACACCTAGGGTGGAGGTACCTTTGGCCTAACTGACTTAAAGGACACCTAGGTGGAGGTACCTTTGGCCTAACTGACTTAAAGGACACCTAGGTGGTGGTACCTTTGGCCTAACTGACTTAAAGGACACCTAGGTGGAGGTACCTTTGGCCTAACTGACTTAAAGGACACCTAGGTGGAGGTACCTTTGGCCTAACTGACTTAAAGGACACCTAGGTGGAGGTACCTTTGGCCTAACTGACTTAAAGGACACCTAGGTGGAGGGGTACCTTTGGCCTAACTGACTTAAAGGACACCTAGGTGGAGGTACCTTTGGCCTAACTGACTTAAAGGACACCTAGGTGGAGGTACCTTTGGCCTAACTGACTTAAAGGACACCTAGGTGGAGGTACCTTTGGCCTAACTGACTTAAAGGACACCTAGGTGGAGGTACCTTTGGCCTCCTAACTGACTTAAAGGACACCTAGGTGGAGGTACCTTTGGCCTAACTGACTTAAAGGACACCTAGGTGGAGGTACCTTGGCCTAACTGACTTAAAGGACACCTAGGTGGAGGTACCTTTGGCTAACTGACTTAAAGGACACCTAGGTGGTGGTACCTTTGGCCTAACTGACTTAAAGGACACCTAGGTGGAGGTACCTTTGGCCTAACTGACTTAAAGGACACCTAGGTGGAGGTACCTTTGGCCTAACTGACTCGTGACTCGCACACAGAAAAGAAGAAGGAAAACTACACACACATGAACTGCAACTGCATGGACTTGGTTACTAAGTTATAATCGTCACATGTCTCCCATTTGAATGGTTAGTAATTATTATGTATACTATCCTAATAATTAGAGGCTGGTGTGTAGGAGCCATGATCGCTGTTGATTGGTTGGCTTGGGTCACATGGGTATGGGTGGCACTCATTCTAGCCCTGTTCACCTGTGTGAGGTGAGGGTGTGTGGAAGAGAGGGTGACACGGGGCCGTTGTACTTTTTTGTTGACCGCAAGATTACAATTGCTTCGATTATAACAATGTGTCTGAGAACAGAGTGTTTTCATTAAACTACGAAACAGAGCTTCAGATCTCAGCGAGTACTTCTTTAGCGTGTCAGAGAACAGCAAACAGGCCTCAGCCTCTCAGAGACTTAGTTTGTTTCCTGCTGTCCCTACTCCATGTATTTAATACCTTCAGTTACTTCACAGATGTGGATGAATGATGTGAAATATAATCAAGTGTTGAATCAGACTTTAGTTCCACCTGGAGTAAATCCACCAGCTACCCTGCAGAATACAAAGTACTTCAAACTAGCTGCACCTTCACCAGCTTTGAGAACACTTTCATGCATGGCTGAGTTCAGAGACAGCTGTTCAACACTTTAATTACCTTTGCTAAGGAGTGTGTGTGTGTGTGTGTTTCTGTGTGTGTTTCTTTGTGTGTGTGTTCCTGTGTGTGTGATCCTGTGTTTCTGTGTGTTTCTGTGTGTTTCTTTGTGTGTTCCTGTGTATGTGTTCCTCTGTGTGTTTCTTTGTGTGTTCCTGTGTATGTGTTCCTCTGTGTGTTTCTTTGTGTGTTCCTGTGTGTTCCTGTGTGTGTGTGTGTGTGTGTGTGTGTGATCGTGTGTTTCTTTGTGTGTTCCTGTGTATGTGTGTGTGTGTGTGTGTGTGTGTGTGTGTGTGTGTGTGTGTGTGTGTGATCCTGTGTGTGTGTGTGATCCTGTGTGTGTGTGTGATCCTGTGTTTCTGTGTGTTTCTTTGTGTGTTCCTGTGTATGTGTTCCTCTGTGTGTTCCTGTGTATGTGTTCCTCTGTGTGTTCCTGTGTATGTGTTCCTCTGTGTGTTTCTTTGTGTGTTCCTGTGTGTTCCTCTGTGTGTTCCTGTGTGTGTTTCTTTGTGTGTTCCTGTGTGTGTGTGTGTGTGATCGTGTGTTTCTTTGTGTGTTCCTGTGTATGTGTTCCTCTGTGTGTGTGTGTGTGTGTGTGTGTGTGTGTGTGTGTGATCCTGTGTGTGTGTGTGATCCTGTGTGTGTGTGTGTTTCAGGTATGTTGGCGTCATGCTGCAGCTGGTTCTGTTTAGACTCAGCTGGAGTTGATCAGCTGTCTGCAGAAGAGCGTCGTCACCAGTCTTACACAAACTCAGGGTTCAACAGCCAGGCGCCGCCCCCCCCCCTCACCTGAACTCACCTGTAAGGCCTGCGGGCGGGAACTCGACACACCTGCCGAGAAGGTGAGAGGACCGACATCTTTATGGACTTATTCAGTTTTTTTTAGAAAAAAAAGTCTCAACTCTTTCATAAAGAAAGTTGAAAATAAGAAGTTCAAATATTGAGATAATAAATCCTGAGCATTGAAAATAATTATTGATATTTAGAGAATAATGTTGGAATATTACGATATAAAAACTAAAACATCTTAAGAGAGTAAAGACGACATTCCCCCCAAGAAATGTCAGTAAAAAGTCAGTCATCATTTTTAGATTTTCTTTTGGGGGGAAAAGCGGAATATCTATTAAAAAAAGTCGTAATATTTGACCAAAAAAACTAAGAGGAATAATCATAATAAACTTTGAATATTCGTTAAGTCAGAATATTTTGAGTAAAAGTTGAAATGTTCGTTAAAAAGTTGGAATATTTTGAGTAACAGTTGAAATACAAACAGGAGAAAATGTGAACATCTCGATGTGTTACCTGTCTTCACAAAAATGTCCCAAATTGAGATCAATAAAGTAATCTCTTATCTCTCATCTGTTACGTTACCTGTCTCTCAGCATGTGTGTGTGGACTGTAAGAAAGACTTCTGCAACCGATGCTCCACCCACCTGGAGCCCCGCCCACGCCTCTGTCACACCTGTCAGCGTTTCTACGGCAACCTGCTAGAGAGGGCGGAGCTAATGAAGATGAAGGTGAAGGAGCTGCGGGATTATCTGCACCTGCACGAGGTTTCCACGCACCTGTGCAGAGAGAAGGTCACTTCCTGTCCCACACTCAAAATACATCATCAAAACATGTCCCCCACCAGTCTAACCCTGTTTCCTGCTTCCTGTTTCCTGCCTCCTTCCTCCTGTTTCCTGTAGGAGGAGCTTGTGGAGCTCGTCCTCGGCCGGCAGCCTTCACCATCTTCCCCCCCCGACACCATGACCTCTGACCCCCCGTCGGTGACCTTTGACCCCCCTGATGTCGCCGCCTCGCCTCCAGACCCCCCCGCCCCGACACCTGAACCCCCCGCTGCAGAGCCGGAAGCCCCGCCCCCTCCCACAGGCCCCGCCGCAGAGCCCGAGGTTCAGGAAGAAGACCAGGTAACCAGTTCCACTTCTACACCAGGAACATGTCAGGATACTTTCAGAATCAGGTTTATCACCAGGTAGGTTGATGTCACGGTGCACACTAGGGCTGTACCCGAATATCCGGAAGTTGGCCTACTATTCGGTTTTCAATTTCGTTATTCGGATATTCGTTTTTTTCTCCAATTGAATTTATTGAAATCTCCAATATCAACGTAAGAGCTTGAGCCTCTTCGGGGGGTGCTAACACTTAACCATAAACGTTATCCTTTACTTCTCCGTCTTTATATGTAGATATGACTTTTCTCCGTTAATCTCCGTCACGTTGTTTCCAAAGCAACAACAACTTCCTGTCAACAGTGCTAACTCTCCTTCAAAATAAAAGCATGTCCATACAAAATAGGAAGCCAAGCCAAATTACACTTTAAATAGAACTGTCGTTACTACGTGTAAAGTAAAAATGCTCCGTCAACTATACATAAAAGTCAGAGCCAGCTGTCGTCGGTGTAACGCCCTCCTGACTGCAGAACGTCTCTCATATGGGTTATGTTTGTTATCGCACGTTGTCTGATTGTATAATCATACGCGCCGTTGCTAGAGTCTGTTGATCTCCAGATTAACAGCAGCATGAAATAACCTGCCGATGCTCCATGTTCGAAATTACCGGGATTTGCGTTTTTACCCCCCTCTGACCAAGCACATGAGAAGTTTACTGTCCTTTTTTAATTTTGCCTGTGAACGCAAACCGAACCTTCTGAAAAAGGAAGGTTCCCCCCATGATTATATTGTAGCGTCTCGCTATAGGAACACAGGAAGGCTTCGTATGTCTTTTATCCGGGAGTTTATTAATAACGATCACAGGTTACTGTTGGCCGTAACCACGCCAACACAATGAAATAACTCAGTTAAATCCTCACTCTCACCCACAAACTCCGTCAGCTCTCCAGTAGCATTCCCTGGCTCTCTCTCTAGGAACCTCCCTCTTCGACACCCAACCAATCAGACGACACTCTCTCACTCACCACAAGTCACGAGAACTGTCGATCAAACAGTGACACGTTCGCTAACAATAAAACACATGAAAACTTCAACATTATACCCAGTCCGTTACAATAGGTCTGTATATGTTGATACAGAGCTAGGTTGCTGCCTGACTCTGTTTCCATCTGAGTCTGAGAGGATCACACGTTGGGGATAATTCATCTCCGTGTTGTTGTGAAGTCGCAGTCAGGAAGCTGTGATGGAAGACAAGGAGTCTGCATGTCGCCTTGTGGGACTCGTCCTTTACTCGCTCAGAAAGATCCACACTTTAGATTTCCTGCCAGACCAAATGAACTCAATGCCCAGACTCCGCTCTGAGTGCAGTCTGAGGGTTTCCGGCTGATGCGTCACATGCAGCGCGGATGGAGCTTTTTTTTAAATTTAATTTTATTATTTGTTTTTGTTCAAATAATCGACTAATGAAAAATTGCTCGATTAAGACTTTAGTCGACTAGTGATTAGTATTTTTTTAAGAAAACTATAATAACATTAGAAAATAATAAAATATAGCAGTATCTCCATAGAACTAGAATGGAATAAAATATGTGCAGTAATACAATGAATGTAATGCATAGAGTCTATGGTGTGGAAAAGTCATTTCCAGGTTAAAGCTGGAATACTAAAACATACTATAGAAATACAAAACAAAGTCTAAAGAACACATTTAAAAATGTTTTTCAGGCGTGGGACCCGGAGGAGGCGCCTGTGTCCGGCCGCCGGGCGTCGCTCTCAGACCTGAGCAGCGTGGACGACATCGAGGCGCTCAGCGTCCGGCAGCTGAAGGAAATCCTCGCCAGAAACTTCGTGAACTACAAAGGCTGCTGTGAGAAGTGGGAGCTGATGGAGCGGGTGGTCCGGCTGTACCAGGACCAGCAGAACCTCCAGGGTGAGTAGAAGTACTCAGCTCTGGTACTTGAGTAAAAGTAGAAGTACTCAGGTCTGGTACTTGAGTAAAAGTAGAAGTACTCAGGTCTGGTACTTGAGTAAAAGTAGAAGTACTCAGGTCTGGTACTTGAGTAAAAGTAGAAGTACTCAGGTCTTGTACTTGAGTAAAAGTAGAAGTACTCAGGTCTTGTACTTGAGTGAAAGTAGAAGTACTCAGATCTTGTACTTGAGTAAAAGTAGAAGTACTCAGATCTTGTCCTTGAGTAAAAGTAGAAGTACTCAGATCTTGTACTTGAGTGAAAGTAGAAGTACTCAGATCTTGTCCTTGAGTAAAAGTAGAAGTACTCAGATCTTGTACTTGAGTGAAAGTAGAAGTACTCAGATCGTGTACTAGAGTGAAAGTAGAAGTACTCAGATCGTGTACTTGAGTAAAAGTAGAAGTACTCAGATCTTGTACTTGAGTAAAAGTAGAAGTACCAGAGTGTAGGAATACTCTGTTACAGTCAAAGTCCTCATTCAAAATGTTCCTCAAGTGAAAGTAGAAAAGTATTCTCATCTAAATATAGTGAAAGACAGTAAAAGTATTCGTTGTGCAGATTGGTCCATTTCAGAATAATATATATGATATGTTTTATAATGATTGATCATGAAAGTGTTCTCAAAGCTGGTGAAGGTGCAGCTAGTTTGAATGACTTTGTATTCTGCAGGGTAGCTGGTGGATTTACTCCAGGTGGAACTAAAGTCTGATTCAACACTTGATTAGATTTCACATCATTCATCCACATCTGTGAAGTAACTGAAGGTATTAAATACATGTAGTGGAGGAAAAGTACACCATGTACCTCTGAACTGTAGAGGAGTAGAAGTACACCATGTACCTCTGAACTGTAGAGGAGTAGAAGTACACCATGTACCTCTGAACTGTAGTGGCGTAGAAGTACACAGTAGCATAACATGGAAATGCTCAAGTAAAGTACAATTACCTCTAAATTGTACTTAAAGGTGGGGTATGTAATTCACTTCAGATACACTTGTTGTTATATTCCATGGAATGCTCTTAACGTCCCGATAGCAATGAATATCTGAAGTGCTTTGGAGCCGTGGCGCTGTAGAAAGCTCGACCAATCATCTGAGCCGGCTAAAGTAACTGGATGGCCTACCTGCCTGTCAGCCTTCCATCTGGGCACAGACTGATCTCGTGCCCTCATTGGTCATGTGCGCGTTCGTGTGTGTTGGAGGAGGGGCTCCATATATTTTCAAATTCTAGCCACTCGAGCTGCTTTCTCCAAAATTACGTACCCCACCTTTAAGTGCAGTACTAAGTTAAATGTAAAGGTACTTGGTTACTTCCCACCTCTGGTGTTTTTGACTTTACATGTAATCGCGATATGCAAAATAATGAACTTCTCGTCCGGTGTGTTCACAGGAAGTTGTCCATGTTCAAATAAATAAATCCTGTTTTTCTTCCAGCTGCCAGCGCTGTGAACGCCTCAGGTGAGCTCACTAACACACGTCGTGTCATAAAGTGGAAACATGTTCATTATTAGTCTCACATGACATCCCTTTGTTTGTATATTCCTCTTGGATTTATTCTAATCTCTTTCAGATCCTCATCAAATGTAAAGACAAATTAAGAACTCGCTCAAGTGACCTTTTTACTTTTTAATTATTATATTGTTTTATAATTTGGTGGTGATTTTTATGTTTCTGTCTATTTGATTATATTCTGATTTATTTCATAAACTATTTGGATCATCAGTTTTTTTTTGGATTGCTGTTCAAACTGAAATTATATATTTATTTTAATTAATTGAACATCAATTCCTCTCTATCTGTGATGCAGCTCATATGTTCTTTATGAGCACCGTATGGTTTGCTTCAGTTCAACTAACACCATTCGTTTCAAATCCAAATTGAACTAAATGTATTATTATTGTATTTGTTGTTGTTGTTATTATTATTTATGTAATGAAGGTGATGTGTTCTCATTGAGCCCTGTATGCTCCCTCACACTGCCTGTCTTTGTGGTTCTAGAGTCCGCTGGTGCTGGTTCTGGTTCTGCCGGTCCGGAGGAGAACCTCTGTAAGATCTGTATGGACTCTCCCATCGACTGCGTGCTGCTGGAGTGTGGTCACATGATCACTTGCACAAAGTGCGGCAAGAGGATGAGCGAGTGTCCGATCTGCCGGCAGTACGTGGTGCGAGCCGTCCACGTCTTCCGGTCCTGAGCGCATCCCGACCCAAACCCGGTAAACCACCAAGTCTGATCCGTCCGGAAATCTGCTTCCATCCCAGTTTAACTAAAACCAAGTAGCTTACATCCCAGTTTAACTAAAACCAATTAGCTTACATCCCAGTTTAACTAAAACCAATTAGCTTACATCCCAGTTTAACTAAAACCAATTAGCTTACATCCCAGTTTAAATAAAACGAATTAGCTTCCAATCCCAGTTTAACTCAAACTAATTAGCTTCCAATCCCAGTTCAACTAAAACTAATTAGCTTACATCCCAGTTTAACTAAAACCAATTAGCTTACATCCCAGTTTAACTAACACCAATTAGCTTACATCCCAGTTTAACTAAAACCAATTAGCTTACATCCCAGTTTAAATAAAACGAATTAGCTTCCAATCCCAGTTTAACTCAAACTAATTAGCTTCCAATCCCAGTTCAACTAAAACTAATGAGCTTACATCCCAGTTTAACTAACACCAATTAGCTTACATCCCAGTTTAACTAAAACCAATTAGCTTACATCCCAGTTTAACTAAAACCAATTAGCTTACATCCCAGTTTAACTAAAACCAATTAGCTTACATCCCAGTTTAAATAAAACGAATTAGCTTCCAATCCCAGTTTAACTCAAACTAATTAGCTTCCAATCCCAGTTCAACTAAAACTAATTAGCTTACATCCCAGTTTAACTAAAACCAATTAGCTTCCATCCCAGTTTAAATAAAACGAATTAGCTTCCAATCCCAGTTGAACTAAAACCAATTAGCTTCCAATCCCAGTTGAACTAAAACCAATTAGCTTCCAATCCCAGTTGAACTAAAACCAATTAGCTTACATCCCAGTTGAACTAAAACCAATTATCTTACATCCCAGTTTAACTAACACCAATTAGTTTCCATCCCAGTTTAAATAAAACAAATTAGCTTCCAATCCCAGTTGAACTAAAACGAATTAGCTTCCAATCCCAGTTGAACTAAAACGAATTAGCTTCCAATCCCAGTTGAACTAAAACCAATTAGCTTCCAATCCCAGTTGAACTAAAACCAATTAGCTTACATCCCAGTTTAACTAAAACTAATTAGCTTCCAATCCCAATTCAACTAAAACCAATTAGCTTCCCATCCCAGTTTAACTAAAACGAATTAGCTTACATCCCAGTTTAACTAAAACTAATTAGCTTCCATCCCAGTTTAACTAAAACTAATTAGCTTCCAATCCCAGTTTAACTCAAACCAATTAGCTTCCCATCCCAGTTTAACTAAAACCAATTAACTTCCATCCCAGTTTAACTAAAACTAATTAGCTTCCATCCCAGTTTAACTAAAACGAATTAGCTTCCATCCCAGTTTAACTAAAACGAATTAGCTTCCAATCCCAGTTTAACTCAAACTAATTAGCTTCCAATCCCAGTTGAACTAAAACCAATTAGCTTCCAATCCCAGTTGAACTAAAACCAATTAGCTTACATCCCAGTTTAACTAAAACTAATTAGCTTACATCCCAGTTTAACTAAAACTAATTAGCTTACATCCCAGTTTAACTAAAACCAATTAGCTTCCAATCCCAGTTTAACTAAAACTAATTAGCTTACATCCCAGTTTAACTAAAACTAATTAGCTTCCATCCCAGTTTAACTAAAACTAATTAGCTGCCAATCCCAGTTTAACTCAAACTAATTAGCTTCCAATCCCAGTTGAACTAAAACTAATTAGCTTCCAATCCCAGTTGAACTAAAACCAATTAGCTTCCCATCCCAGTTTAACTAAAACGAATTAGCTTACATCCCAGTTTAACTAAAACTAATTAGCTTCCATCCCAGTTTAACTAAAACTAATTAGCTTCCAATCCCAGTTTAACTCAAACTAATTAGCTTCCAATCCCAGTTGAACTAAAACCAATTAGTTTCCCATCCCAGTTTAACTAAAACTAATTAGCTTACATCCCAGTTTAACTCAAACTAATTAGCTTCCATCCCAGTTTAACTAAAACTAATTAGCTTCCAATCCCAGTTTAACTCAAACGACTTAGCTTCCAATCCCAGTTGAACTAAAACCAATTAGCTTCCATCCCAGTTTAACTAAAACCAATTAGCTTCCCATCCCAGTTTAACTAAAACCAATTAGCTTACATCCCAGTTGAACTAAAACCAATTAGCTTCCAATCCCAGTTGAACTAAAACAAATTAGCTTCCAATCCCAGTTGAACTAAAACCAATTAGCTTCCAATCCCAGTTGAACTAAAACCAATTAGCTTCCAATCCCAGTTGAACTAAAACGAATTAGCTTCCAATCCCAGTTGAACTAAAACCAATTAGCTTCCAATCCCAGTTGAACTAAAACCAATTAGCTTACATCCCAGTTTAAATAAAACGAATTAGCTTCCAATCCCAGTTGAACTAAAACCAATTAGCTTCCAATCCCAGTTGAACTAAAACGAATTAGCTTCCAATCCCAGTTGAACTAAAAACCAATTAGCTTCCAATCCCAGTTGAACTAAAACCAATTAGCTTACATCCCAGTTTAACTAAAACTAATTAGCTTCCAATCCCAATTCAACTAAAACCAATTAGCTTCCCATCCCAGTTTAACTAAAACGAATTAGCTTACATCCCAGTTTAACTAAAACTAATTAGCTTCCATCCCAGTTTAACTAAAACTAATTAGCTTCCATCCCAGTTTAACTAAAACTAATTAGCTTCCATCCCAGTTTAACTAAAACTAATTAGCTTCCATCCCAGTTTAACTAAAACTAATTAGCTTCCAATCCCAGTTTAACTAAAACCAATTAGCTTCCCATCCCAGTTTAACTAAAACCAATTAACTTCCATCCCAGTTTAACTCAAACTAATTAGCTTCCATCCCAGTTTAACTAAAACGAATTAGCTTCCAATCCCAGTTTAACTCAAACTAATTAGCTTCCAATCCCAGTTGAACTAAAACCAATTAGCTTCCAATCCCAGTTGAACTAAAACCAATTAGCTTACATCCCAGTTTAACAAAAACTAATTAGCTTACATCCCAGTTTAACTAAAACTAATTAGCTTACATCCCAGTTTAACTAAAACCAATTAGCTTCCAATCCCAGTTTAACTAAAACTAATTAGCTTACATCCCAGTTTAACTAAAACTAATTAGCTTCCATCCCAGTTTAACTAAAACTAATTAGCTTCCAATCCCAGTTTAACTCAAACTAATTAGCTTCCAATCCCAGTTGAACTAAAACTAATTAGCTTCCAATCCCAGTTTAACTCAAACGAATTAGCTTCCAATCCCAGTTGAACTAAAACCAATTAGCTTCCCATCCCAGTTTAACTAAAACGAATTAGCTTACATCCCAGTTTAACTAAAACTAATTAGCTTCCATCCCAGTTTAACTAAAACTAATTAGCTTCCAATCCAAGTTTAACTCAAACTAATTAGCTTCCAATCCCAGTTGAACTAAAACCAATTAGCTTCCATCCCAGTTTAACTAAAACCAATTAGCTTCCATCCCAGTTTAACTAAAACCAATTAGCTTCCAATCCCAGTTTGAAAATGTGTTATTATTATTATTATTATTATTAGAATTGTTATTTTTAGAGTTGTTGTTATTTTTAAATCTTCTCCTCCTCTGCAGGACCGTCTCCAAAGCAATACAACTGGGAATACATCTTCCTGAAGGGACCTCCTCCTCCTCCTCCTCCTCCTCCTCCTCCTCCTCCTCCTCCTCCTCCTCCTCCTCCTCCTCCTCCTCCTCCTCCTCCTCCTCCTCCTCCTCCTCCTGTAGGGACCTCCTCCTCCTCCTGCTCTCCTCCTCCTCCTCCTCCTCCTCCTCCTCCTCCTCCTCCTCCTCCTCCTCCTCCTCCTCCTCCTCCTCCTCCTCCACTGAGAAAAATGAAATGCTTTATTTTGTTAACTCTATTTTTCTAGTGTAAATAAAACGATGATTGTATGAAGTGACCTTAACCTGCAGAGCAGCCGTTTGAATACAGACTCTGATCTAAAGACTCTTCCACCAAGAAGCCTTCAGCAGGAAACGAACCAAAGACAACCTGACCTCCACAGGTGAGAGGGTCGACCTCCACAGGTGAGAGGGTCGACCTCCACAGGTGAGAGGGTCGACCTCCACAGGTGAGAGGGTCCTCCTCCACAGGTGAGAGGGTCGACCTCCACAGGTGAGAGGGTCCTCCTCCACAGGTGAGAGGGTCCTCCTCCACAGGTGAGAGGGTCCTCCTCCACAGGTGAGAGGGTCCTCCTCCACAGGTGAGAGGGTCGACCTCCACAGGTGAGAGGGTCGACCTCCACAGGTGAGAGGGTCGTCCTCCACAGGTGAGAGGGTCCTCCTCCACAGGTGAGAGGGTCGACCTCCACAGGTGAGAGGGTCCTCCTCCACAGGTGAGAGGGTCCTCCTCCACAGGTGAGAGGGTCGACCTCCACAGGTGAGAGGGTCGACCTCCACAGGTGAGAGGGTCGACCTCCACAGGTGAGAGGGTCCTCCTCCACAGGTGAGAGGGTCGACCTCCACAGGTGAGAGGGTCGTCCTCCACAGGTGAGAGGGTCGACCTCCACAGGTGAGAGGGTCGACCTCCACAGGTGAGAGGGTCGACCTCCACAGGTGAGAGGGTCGACCTCCACAGGTGAGAGGGTCCTCCTCCACAGGTGAGAGGGTCGACCTCCACAGGTGAGAGGGTCCTCCTCCACAGGTGAGAGGGTCCGCCTCCACAGGTGAGAGGGTCCTCCTCCACAGGTGAGAGGGTCCTCCTCCACAGGTGAGAGGGTCGACCTCCACAGGTGAGAGGGTCGACCTCCACAGGTGAGAGGGTCCTCCTCCACAGGTGAGAGGGTCCTCCTCCACAGGTGAGAGGGTCGACCTCCACAGGTGAGAGGGTCCTCCTCCACAGGTGAGAGGGTCCTCCTCCACAGGTGAGAGGGTCGACCTCCACAGGTGAGAGGGTCGACCTCCACAGGTGAGAGGGTCGACCTCCACAGGTGAGAGGGTCCTCCTCCACAGGTGAGAGGGTCGACCTCCACAGGTGAGAGGGTCGTCCTCCACAGGTGAGAGGGTCGACCTCCACAGGTGAGAGGGTCCTCCTCCACAGGTGAGGGTTAACGTCACAGCGCCTTTAACCCACTGTGAAATACACAGGCCGTCATCTTATTGGTTTACACAGAGCTGCAGGATGTGTTGGTCCCTGAAGGCAGCATCTCCTGGTCCAATGGGATTCCTCCATGTGATTTTGAATTATGTCATAAAATAATCTGTGTCAAACAAACGATTATCAGCTCAACATCAACGATTCATTTATTTATAATCTGATCATTATTTCTTACATTTAATTCATCGTTTTACAAAAACGTCCGACGTCACGCCTTTAAAACCAAAGAGATATTTATATTTACTCTAAAAGGGAATCATCTAGAATTAAAACTCAAGCTGTAGTTTGTAAAGACGGTTCGGGTTAAAAAGAACAATATTTCCTAGTGATTGGTTAATTGACGAATCACTGCGTTCTCTAATTGATCTAATTGGAAATCACAAACTATTCTGGTATCTCTGGAATAAAGTAGGACTGCGTGTTTGGGATATAGGACGTATCACGGAGCCGGGATTATATCTGGAGAAACGCTATTTTTAAAAAGGTTAAATCTAACGGATAAATTCACAAATGTACGACAACGAAAATAATATTCTCTGGTTATAAAGTGGAGGCGTGCTGCGATGTCGTTTTGGACAAAAAGATCCACAATTTCGGCCTTTTTTTCTTCTGCATTTAAGACGTAAATCTTAATTGTTTTTTTACTTTTAAATCTCAGAGAATATTCAAGCTTTTCTCCAAATAGTTCCCGCGTCCTCTGGCTCTGTCCTCTTCTATCTAACAATGGTCATGGTTTGCTGCTATAAAAAACGTTTGTATAATTTACAATTTGACTAAAACGTGTATAAATTCCACTTTCCTCCTGAAATGTGAGGAAGTGATGGATTCTAATCCCATCACAAAAGGACTTGATACACATTTAGACACACGGGAGATGTTTCCCTCACACCAACACATAGAGGTTTCCCACTGCTTCCTGTCTCTATGCTAAGCTAAGCTAGCATTTACTTCCTCACATTTGTATTCTGAGGGTTTTAGGGATTTTATATTGTGTAGTTGTCCGGTGTCTTTAGACTTACCTTTGTGCCTAAATGAAGGGAAATAAAGGATTCAGGAATAAGGGATTCTTTCCAGTGTAGAGGAGCGTCCTCATGTTGGGAAATAACTGAGCTTTACGCTTTTATTTCCCCACAATCTCCTCCTCAGTTTCCTGGAAAGAAGTAACCATAAAGAAAAGTGAGATAAGGAAGGGAAAGAGCTACAGAACATGTAACAGACCGCCATCTTCTCATCTGAATCTGAAAATGTTGGACTGTTCCTGTGAATGTTCTTTCATGGAAACAACAGATTTCCCAGTCTGTCGTTTATCCAGTTCAGATTTAACCCCACTCACTTCCACACGACGACAGCATCGACACCGCAGCCTTTACGTAGGACATTTGAAGAAGATGAACATATCTCTTTTTAAATCTGATCAGTGTTGCAGAGCTCAGTTAGTCATATTTTAAAAATAATGTAGGTAGGTAGGTAGATGGATAGGTAGATAGAAATATGGATAGGTAGATAGAAAGATAGATAGATAGATAGATAGATAGATAGATAGATTGGTAGATGGAAAGATAGATAGAAAGATGGGTAGGTAGATAGAAAGATAGAAAGATGGATAGATGGATAGATAGAAAGATTGGTAGATGGATAGATGGGTAGATAGATGGATGGATAGGTAGAAAGATGGATAGATGGATAGAAAGATGGATGGATGGGTGGATAGATGGATGGATAGGTAGACAGATGGATAGATATATGGATAGGTAGATAGATGGATGGATAGGTAGACAGATGGATAGATATATGGATAGGTAGATAGATGGATGGATAGGTAGGTAGATGGATAGATGGATAGAAAGATGGATGGATGGATAGGTAGATGGATGGATAGGTAGACAGATGGATAGATATATGGATAGGTAGATAGATGGATGGATAGGTAGGTAGGCAGATAGATAGTAAAGTCAGTAAATATACCTATATTAGGAGGAGTATCTAAACATTGTAAAATATACAGAATACATTATAATTCTCTAATATACCAATCTACTGATCATATAAACTACTCCGTTATTATATATTAAAAATACTAGCAAACATCTGTAGGCTAACCGCTCGTATTGTAGAACAAGTACTGTATCTGAGTTTTTGTTCTTTCTTACTTTCCAGCCCTTTGTGTTCAGAAACACTTCATTGATCACATTTGGTGCCAATATGGTGTTTTCTCCCAGGCTAGAGTAGAGGTGATGTTACTGCTCGTTAACATACAGACGTTCTCGTTGTACGTCCGTGGCTTTGTGGGGAAAGGGCTGTGGTTGAATCTGAACTGGGAGCAACCGACGCTTCTGATCGGTTTCCCAGCAGACCGTCTCGGCCTGGAGCTTTTTGGTTGGACTTTGTGTCTTGTTTGAACTCTGATTGCACTAATCTGTTGATGCCGAAATATGTTTGAACTCTAGGCGACTTGTTTGGGTCGAGGAAGTTATTCTAGAGATATTTTGTGTCCTTTTTTTCTTTGTTTTTCTTCAGTTGTTGTTGTGAGATCATTAAGGTTTATTTTTGTTGTGAATATTTTAGATTTGTTGTGGAATGATGGTCTGTGTTTACAGCCTTGGGATCACACAACTGTAGTTTCGGCCTTTAAGCAGGTTCATCTGTATCGCTGTGTTTCAGGTGTGGAACATTAAGTTACGCTGCACTTTGATTCGTCTATTCACCTCATTAAGCCCCGCCCCTTTTCCCACTTCCTGTTCAAATGCTTATCTCTTAGTTCTTCCTGTTAGCACTAGCAGCGTTGTAAGAACTTTGACATTTTTTTTAAAAACACAGAATTAAGAGAAACATTGGAATTTTCTGATTTTCAGAAAAAGGGCCAGTTATGAGATTTTCAAATAAAAAGGTAAATGTTGTGATGTAAAAATGAAGTCATGAATTTTGAGAAATTGAAAGTCAAAATTTGAGGTAAAAATGATTGGAAACTATTTATATTCTGTACAAACTGAAGTCCACTGAGACAAATGTAACATTTGTCTCAGTGGACTTTTTGTAACATTTGTGATATTGGGCTATAAATAAAAATGGATTGATTGATAGAAGTCAGAATTTTTGAAAAGTCTGAATTTTGAGAAATTAAAAAAAAAAAATCTATTTGAAGAAAAAGTCAAAACAAATTTGAAAAGTCAGCAATTTCACATTTTTGGAAAAAAATAATTTTTTGCAGAAAAAATGAAAAAAGTAAATGTTTGAGAAATCCATATAAAAGTCAGAAAGAAAACATTTTGAGAAAAAAATAACTTTCAGATTTAAAGAAAAAGTTTGAGACATTTGAGAAAAATGAAAAATGTCACATTTTTGAGAAAAAATGAAAAAGTCAGAATTTTGAGAACATTTTTCTTTAACCTGTTTTTTTCACGAAACTGTCTCAGGGCTTCTTAACATTTAACAACCTATTAAAGGTGGGGTAGGTAATTCACTTCAGAAACACTTGTTATATTCCATGGAATGCTCTTAACATCCCGATAGCAATGAAGACATTAAATGCTTTGACAATACATCCATAAAAATATCAGTGGAAGCCGTGGTTCTGTAAAAAGCACGACTAATCATCTGAGCCGGCTAAAGTAACTGGATGGCCTACCTGCCTGTCAGCCTTCCATCTGGGCACAAACTTATCTCGTGCCCTCATTGGTCATGTGCGCGTTCGTGTGTGTTGGAGGAGGGGCTGCGTACTTTCAAATTCTCGCGCACTCGAGCTGCTTTCTCCATTCTTACCTACCCTACCTTTAATGTGTCATACCCACTTAACGGGAAGAAACTCAGCTAACTGACGATACAAACCACAAGTCTCACAAGGAGTGTCTAAATGAGCCCTGAGCGAAAAAATGCTAACACACTTAGCACAGAACTCACGGTAAAATATCCTTATTACTTATCGGATCTGCACAAACTCGCGACCTGGGAAGCAAACCCAGACATCACAAAATGTAGCTTTACGGAGCAAACACGGGAAATAGTCTCACCTTTGCTGTTGTTCTGATCAAAAGTTGTGTTCAATGTCATCAAAACGATAAAAACGCTGCTGAAGGTTAATCTATAGGTTAATCCAATGTGTCTGTGTCACTTTGAAATGATTACTGATAATCCATCTTCATATTTATGTCAATAACAATGGAGATTTCATATTAGCTGCTACTAGAGTGTATGACAGCTCCCGGGTTTGGGCATTCTGGCTATGCATCACTCATTCACCAATGGTTAGATGGATTTTAGGGACTTCCCCTCGATTCTATTGGCTCTAACGGTCAGAAAGAGATGTCAATCATCAAAATCGATCGAGGGGGGCCAGAGATATGGAAAATCCACCCAAATGACCCCAGAAGTGGATTTTTTTCCTAAACCTTTCTAAAAAGGTAAAATGTCCCTTGTTTTGCATTAATCTTGATACAGGGCACTTATTATATGTTATAGTTTGGATTCCTAAAGCTTTTAGTCTCCGATCCCATCATTCAAGGGTGGTTTTCACTATAAGTAATGTTTGTTTTTTGGACGGACACTATAATTTACATTTCTTTACTATGTTCAATCTGAATTAACTTTAAAATAAAAACATCTATATTGATTATTCTACATCCAACTCACAGGTTTATCATTGCTTTGAGAATGTTTTTTATTAATTTACCCCTTTTACAAGTGAAGTTATAGTCATTTGTTCTGGGAATGTCATTTTCGAGCCTGAGACCTGAAGAACGGGCTCGACCCTCTCATACAGCAGCAGCTCCTCACAGCTCCAAACATCAACGTAAAACCTCTAATATACGATTTTTCATAATCACATATTACCTACAATCACATATTAGTGATCTAAACAGTGCTCACCTGATAAACTGTTATGACTTAATAACAGTTTATTTAAAAGCTTAAAAACAGGGCAGGTAAAGGTTGATAAAGCTGGAGACACTTTGAAAAGTTATAGCAGTCACTCTGTAACAGGAAGAATCAACACATAATGCAGTTAAGGTGGAAGCGTCCTAGAGGTGGCGAAGCATGAGGTGAATAGAAATGATGAATTGAATAATCCCAGCGAGGGAAGAGGCTCAACTGACTTCAGGTATCTGTTAGCATCGTTAGCAAACCAGCTGGACGCTAACATGCTAGCATCCAGATCTGATGTTCTTTACACTTTATTGAAATCTGTTTTTTAAAATATTGTATAATTGAAGAAGCTAAACTTTTGTGTGAACTTTCGTATTAAAACTGATTTTCTTCCTGTTATGTTGTTGGTCTTTCTTCACATTGTGACACTTTGGTACAGTTAGTTTAATTTATGCGAACAGTTCTACCAATGTCTGAATATAAATGGCACCACCTTAAAAACAGTTCAAAAATAAGAAGTTTAACAAAACAAATGATTTATGGACCAATACAGTATTTAGAATTTGTATCATCTTTTGTTATTTCTATTAAAAGTAGTATATGTATATCTGGTTTCAACAGTTTCTGGACATCATGGGAATGTACATGGATCGGTAAATTATCCTATATCAAAAGTGTTTTAAAATATAAAACAAATACACATTTTTTATCAATAAAATCTTTCTTTAAAGGAAATGAACCATTTACAAATTAGTAATATCATTTTCCTAAATCAATAAGATTTAAATATTTTACATCATTTTTAAATCAGCACAAAAATATTTGACATAGAAAACATTTATTAATGAAAGATCAATGAGATGAGTTTTAGAAAAATCAAACTTTTGTAATTAATAAAAAGCATTTAAAAAAAGAAAAAAAATGTGTTGTGAAACCATGAGCTGCCATAGGATGGCGCTGAATGTATTATTAGTAGCAGTAGTAGTAGTTGTGGTAGTTGTTAGGGTAATATTTTCCAAAGCCCATAACTTTGACCCAGTTTATCAGCTCTGTCCGGACTGAGCACAGGCACCTGTAACCTTGGCTGCTGTGCTCTCAGTGTTCTGTCTCCCTGTTCCTGCCTGTCGGCGTCAGCTGATAGAGGTGTTATGATTCTGTCTTGTTATGCAGCATGTTGATTAGTCTCTCTGAACTAGCTAAACACATGGGCCTGGGGTAGAGATCTTCAGAATTGACGTGGCAACTCTACCGCAAAGTCAGAACCTCTGACTCTTTGACTTGTTTTGTGAATTCTCCGGCCGAAGCTCCTAATAAACCATCAGTGTTTGACATCTAAGCTCCAGCTCTCCCCGTGTCTTCTTCCTGAGTCGGTGACTCCCACTGCATTGCTACACAGAAGTTTTCCCCCACACATTGGATTGCAGGATACCAACAAATCTTCAGAACTGGTAAGTGTTTCAAATCCACATTTGGACATTGCCTTACCAGAATCTGTGATTGACGGTATCCTAAAATTACCTGTGAAACTGAGCGGCTGTGTTTCGTTTTTGGTTAATGAACATTTGGGGATATAAACCCAGGGGATCAGTGTCTGGGGACTCTGTCCTGGCTGATATTCTCTGCGTATGCTGCTCGGGACGGAAGTGCCATACAAGCATGCACAGCTCATGTTCGGAAAACCTTAATGAAGGGCATCAGTAAAGTGGAACTTCTGTATGAAAGCAATGTAAAGATTTGTATTGGACAAATTGCCGAATTCTAGGGGTTTCAGCGGCCAACACAGCAGTTGGGAATAAGCAGCCGGAGATATTACTCCTATCGCCTCTGTAAACACGGCTCCAGCAGCAGCCGCGGGTGTGTGTGTAAATACCTCCCCGTATCTGTGTGGCTGGTGAAGTGCACTGAGAGGGAGACAGTCATAGCTTTTGTCTATAGCTTTAACTCACACCACCGCCGTCTATATTAAAAACGAGACAGTCTAAAAGCACTCTCGTTGTTTGTGACCGTCTTCTACGTGCTGGTAATACGGGACAGCGCGTGGTGTGTGCATCACCCGATGCGCCACAGTTCCCTACTTGCTGGAGGAACTGGTTTCGATCCGGGGTGCACACATACAATTATAGGATAATTGATCACGGGTGGGCAGTGGCATGCGAGTGTAGAACAAAACTGTGTTTCATGGTTGTGATGAACTTGATAGCGAGTGTATAGGTTGGTCCGTAGTGACTACAGTTAACTGGGCTGTTGTTGGAGAGAAAGGGTAGCGGATAAAAAGTCTATGCGCCCCTGATCGGGGGGGCATAGTGCCACCAGAATAGAGTAGTGGTGTCGCAAGAGGATACGCTAGTTATCGCTCTTGGACGGTCATCAGGCACCAATCTAGGACTTGTATACAAGGGTGGAAGCGCGAGTCAAGGCGCCCCACTAAGAGATAATTCCCTACCCCAAAGTGACAGACCTAATTTTACCTCTATTTAGAGGCAATGGACGTCCACTCTCGGGAGAGAGACCTCGAGCATGTGTCCCTGAAATGGGGACTCAGGTTATTTCACACATCCAGGACAGAGACTGGGGAAATCACCTCTCTGTGGCCCCTCCAAGACCCCCAAAGGACGGACTACAGACCTCCAGCATGTGTCCCTGAAATGGGCAAACAGATTTTTTCACACTTCCAGGAGACAGACCGCGAAAACCACATCTCTGTGGCCCTTCACAGAGCCCCAAAGGACGGACTAATGACCTCCAGCATGTCTCCCTGACATGCACAATTCCATAACCTTGCACACTGTGAGACCCCGGGCCCCCGGACTTAAGCACTCCCCCACGGACTAAACCCAGATGTTCACACCCTCCAGAACCTCATGCCCCTGGTATCCTTAAAGGGGGGGTGGATTTTGTAGCGCTTTTCTGTCAGCTCATCAGCATCCATATTCGGCCTTCTTCACGGCACCACCACCCCCCCTTCTGTGGAGGATATTCTTATGCTCCTGGTAACCCTTTAAATAGTCTGATACCTCCAGGGCGCATCACCGCATTTTACAAGCCAGGGAAGGTGTCTGAATCCTGGGTAAACATTGTTTAAATAGTCTGATACCTGGCACTGTATCTACCCCTGGGAATCTTCAAGGTTATATAAATGTTTTATTATTTATTTAATTATCACACGATTTTGACAAAAACAGTATACACAATATACATAATATACATAATAAACACAATAAAAACATGATTAGCGGGGGCCCGGGGGCCATATTAGCCGTCTAACTTGTACGGTGCACCGGGGGAAAAAGGTTGAGTCCACGGCCTCTACCCCCACATCAGGAGTATCAACCGGCCCTGAAGAAGAGGTATCGCTGCTCTCCGCCCCTGAGTCCTCTTCGGAGGTATCTCACGGCGGTAGACCTCCTTCTGATGATGCTGCTGCAGCTGCTGCCGCCCTGATCATGGAGCCGATCTTCAATCCCTCCTTTATTCCAGGCGTATTCGCGTAGAACCGGTCTGCAGTGCTTACGTCGTGACACATAAACCTGGCGAGAATCGACCTGCTTTCTGGATCTTGGTGATGCTTGATATTGTCTGCCAGGGCAGTGCGCAGGATTGTGAAGGTGACGGCTGTTTCTAGCCCAGCATCAGCCCAAGCCCTCTTCAAGTGAGCGTTCAGGTTCCTGGAGGCATGCTTCCCCGTTGTGAAAAGGAAGAATTCATTCTGAGGACCCGACAAGCCCTCTTTTATCCCCATCCACCGCATGACCCAGCTAAACTCCTTTACTGTAAGCACCAGCTGTGCTTCGCCAAATGTCTTGGCAGTCTTGTGATCCTGCACGTGGATGATGTAGCCCTCAGCAGTGCCCCTTCTGTCCGCCTCAAAGACCTCAGTGTTGGTCATGTTTGCGTACACACCTGGACGGTGGCCATACAGTAGGCTCCAATGGAGGGTTAGATAGCCATATAGCAGGTACTGGGTGATTGAGGTCGGGTTGCTAGCCATCAGGTCAAGTAAATCAGGGATGCGCTTCTCAGCGGCCGCCATGGCGGCGAGAAGCTCCGCCTGGCTCGGCAGACGATCCAGCTTGTTCCTCTTCACCTTAAACTGGTGGACAGTGACAGACCTTTTCAAGTCGTTCATGTTGGCTGTCACCTCTCTGATGATGTGGGTCATATCAGACTGGGTGAGCCTGCACCCCCGGAGCTTTGACTCAGACAAGTACCTCAGGAAATGGTTCACATTCTTCAGGAACAACAGCGATGTTGTGACTGCCCGGCCCGACTTTACAATATACTCGCTCCAGCTACGGACCCTCTCCGTGTCTTTTAGAAACAGCCAGTCTGACAGCCGGTTAACACCATGGGCCATGAATACGAGGAAGTTCTTTATCCGGCTGACCATAGACAGACAATTTTCTTTCCGTTTTACTGTCGCTGCGACACCCTCACAATGATGCCTGTATGTCTGAATGTACGTCTCCATGCTTTGAGGCAACGTGATTTCATGCATGGTATTCCCCCGTCCCTTCCCAGTGGACCAGTGATTTGGGGGAGAGGGCCAGTCCTTAGCCAGATTAGCTTTCAGCTTATTGTAGACAGACGCATGAGAGTCTTGACCGGGGTCTTGAGAGGGGTATTGCTGCTGGAGGCTGATGGGGACCGCATGACAGTCTTGACCGGGATCTTGAGAGGGGACTCACTACCGGAGGCTTCTGGGGACCACATGACAGTCTTGACCGGGGTCTTGAGAGGGGTATTGCTGCCGGAGGCTGCTGGGGACCACATGATAGTCTTGACCGGGGTCTTGAGAGGGGTCTCACTACCGGAGGCTTGTGGGGACCGCATGACAGTCTTGACCGGGGTCTTGAGAGGGGTCTCACTACCAGAGTCTGCTGGGGACCGCATGACAGTCTTGAATGGGGTCTTGAGAGGGGTCTCACTACTGGAGGCTTCTGGGGACCGCATGAGAGTCTTGACCGGGGTCTTGAGAGGGGTATTGCTGCCGGAGGCTTCTGGGGACCGCATGACAGTCTTGACCGGGGTCTTGAGAGGGGTATTGCTGCCGGAGGCTACTGTGTTTATGCCACAGCAGAAGTGGCACTCTGCTTCCTGGGTTTTAGCCCCTTTTTCAGCCTGGAGCGCAGGGTCTTCACCTCATCAATGAGGACATCCTTCTGAGCCCTCAATGCCACATTTTCCAGCATCACCTGCCTGCAGTCCTCTTCGTCACACTCAGTATGTGGGGAGAAGGGTGGAGGCTGCACCGGGTATTCCTCCTCATTGTCTATATCCAATGATGTAGCCATTCCAATGATGGGATTAGTCTCTCGGAGATCATGGAGCAACTGCAGGGCCACACTATGCTTCAGCCTTGCCAGGACCTGATGTGCCTCATCTCAGGAGAACTCAGGGTGATCTGAGTTAACTTTTGGGAAAACCAGAGAAAAGGGGTGAAAATGGAGAAATTGTATCCGAAAATAGTGTCTCTTAAGGCGGGTAGAGTCCCCTGACAACTCTCCTTACATTCCTCCAGAGTCAGAAAAACTCTAAGTTAACTTTTGGGAGAACCAGAGAAAAGGGGTGAAAATGGAGAAATTGTATCCGAAAATAGTGTCTCATAATTCCCTGACAACTCCCCTTGCATTCCTCCAGAGACCAGTTCAAAAACGTAAAGTTTGGTAAGAACCATGCTGGGGGGTCTCCGTGCAACAATTGTATCCGAGCCAGAGCACTCATGTAGCGGACACATTCCTCCATGAAGTGAGACAGCCGTTTTTTATCTAAGTGCTCTCAAAAACCGGGTTTCCGATTTCGTGCAGATGGTAGCTTGAAAATGATGAATGCATTTTTTTGACGGAGTAGGGGAGGCTGGGGTTCCCCTCTCCGTTTTAAGTTGAAACGGGGGAGTGCAAAAGTGTCCGGAGCTTCGGCCCGAAGCGCCGAAGGGTTGGCCCCTTTCTCTGTTGACACTTTGTCGTTTTTTCGAGAAAAACTTCATTTTTGATTATTTTAAGATATAATTGACCGTTTTCTTTACTTTTTTCTTCTTTTCACGGGTGGGGGTGCATTCAGGCCACCTATGAGCTCCCAAATTCGGCCTGGAACCTCCAGGAATTGTGGGCTATAGTGTTAAAACGCCTGATTAATATGTTAGTAATGCTGGCAGCAGGTTCACTGCTGTTAGCAGGGTCTCACACTCACAGGCAAAGGCAAAATGCAAACAGGTTTTTTCACACTTCCAGGAGACAGAGCGCAAAAACCACCTCTCTGTGGCCCTTCACAGAGCCCCAAAGGACGGACTAAGCAGCTCCAGCATGTCTCCCTGACATGCATACTTCCATAACCTCGCACACCGTGAGACCCCGGACTTAAGCACTCCCCCGCGGACTAAACCCAGATGTTCACACCCTACAGAACCTCATGCCCCTAGAAACCCTAAAAGGGGGGTGGATTTTGCGGTGCTTTACCGTCCGCCCATCAGCATCCATATTCGGCTTTCTTCACGGCACCCCCCCTGTGCTGGAGGTTCACACTTTAACTGTTTTGTCAGATTTCGTCTTTCCACGGGTGGGTGCGCCTGGCAAAGCTGTGTACCCAAACTTAAGCACTCTCACTCTGACTAAACACATAAGGACATCCGGGTAAGACCTTAGTGCCCCTTAGTGCCCCTGGTACTCCATGTCGTTAAATGAGCTCAGTAATGTTCTGCACAACATCACATGAGTAAATGAGCTCCGTATTGCCCTGCAAAATCACATTTGGTGTATTTCCAAAAAACTATGAAAATACACCTATCAATCAATCAATCAATCAATCAATGTTTATTTATATAGCCCAATATCACAAATGTTACATTTGTCTCAGTGGACTTTACAGTTCTCCGTCATGTCCTGTAAAATATCATTCTTTGTTTATTTCCATCATTTAGGCAAATACACATATCTTTGTCTGCTCCAGGAGCTTCAAAGTGCAGACTCCTGAGCTCCGTCATGTCCTGCAAAATATCATTCTTCCGACCGCCAAGCACCGGCACGTGGACCCGGGGAGGAGGCCCTCCGATGGCGGGTCAAATTTGCTGATAGCACAGCTGACGGCTGGACACTAGCCGTAGAGGAACACCAGGGCAGGACCAGGCAGTTTCATCTTTGCAGACAAGCATATGTGGTTGTTACGCAGGATCAAACAGGTAGCCTGTGATGAAGGAGGGTCGACCCTATATCATGTGAAGCCACCGAGCCGTGGTCCCCGAGGGAACTGGTGCCCTGAGCAAGGCCAATTGCTGAATGCCGCAGCCGACTAAGGCCGCTATGCAACAGTGGAGGATTAGAGAAACTGATGTTTGCCTGGCACTCCGCGGCGAAGTGGGGAGGTGGAACTTCCACCCCGCTGTGGAATCCGTGGTGGGACCCCTGAGTCAGACGGTTAGTCTTGGAAACGCTTCATATCGGTTGGCCCGGGAGGTAAGAGACATGCAGGGTTACCCCCACGCAGCACACCCTCCCGGCCATCAGAGTCGAACCCGCAGTTCGGAGGAACCGACCGCCAGAGCACCGGCATGAGGCCGGGCCGGCGGAGGCCCTCCAATGGCGGGTTGCGTTTGCCATTCGATCAGTGAGAAATCAGGAAAAAAGTCTGAGTTAAAGGTGACATGTCATGCTTTTCCGGTTATTGCCCGTCCCCTTGTGTGTTATGAAGGTTTTTATGCATGTAAACAGTCTGCAAAGTCAAAACCCTCAAAGTACACCCTGTAGCGAGTAAACTCTAACACAGAAAATACCTCCCCCAAAAGCCTCGTTGGAGATTTCTCAGTTTCCATTGTTTACTTCCTGCCCCGTGTGACGTGCCTGCACCGTGCAACGTCACTTCTTCTGCCAGTCGACCATATTAAGTGTCGTAAAACCTGCTTCTTTTCAAAGCTCTATCCAGTCATGTCGCGGAGGGTCTGTTGCCTGTATTGTGTGGAGAAATCCACAATGTTTGCAGTACCGAAGGCAGAACCACGACGAAGTCAGTGGTTGACATTCCTTTTTAACACTGTTCCAGCTGATTTACCAGCCGGTACTGTTGTGTGTGCGCGGCATTTCACGGACCTTAGCTTCGGACTTGCTGTAAAGCTAATATTGGAGGACGATGCTGTTCCTACTTTGTTTGGACCAGCGGGAGATTTGGGTACACAACCTGTAAGTATTCATTGTGGTTTGTGTATTTATTCTGTTTAAAACAAACAATGTATCTACCACGACTCTGTAAATGCTATGCTAATGCTATGCTACCGAGGTAAACACGAGGACTACCTAGCATTCCCAGACCTCAATACCGATGTTAGCACATGGCCTTACATGTATCTCATAGCAGGAGAATGTCTGCAAACACACACGAAATACTCAGACAGTATACTCCGGGTGATTTAACCGTACGGTCAGTAATTACAGTTGCCGTTCGTGTATTCTACCGAGCTACCATTAATAAGCTAGAAGCTCTAACCTAGAGATGTTATGAAAAACATTGTTTTCATGCCAGCTACAATGAATGACCGAACGTAGCAGACTAACTCTATAATATTGCAATTGTAAGATGTTCTTGCTAAGCCTAGACTAGCTGTTAAACTGCATATTAGGTTAGCATATTAGCTGGCAAGCTAACTGTGTTGATTACTGATAGATAATCATAGCTGGAGAATTTCGTCTGCAAACACACACGAAATACTCAGACAGTATACTCTGGCTGATGTACGGCCAGTCGCCAAACATAATTACATTGAAGTTGGCGGTCCTAGCAGCTATGCTACTGAGCTACAAAGAGTCTGAAATATTACGCTACATGGGAAAAGGTAGCAGCAGGTTCTATCTGTAGAACATTGTAATTGTAAAAGTGTTGCTTTTATGAAATTGACTGTTTTCCTCGGATACAAAATTAATTGTATGAATACTATGTGTATCTTTCTTAGAGTACATCACAGCAGGAACACAATACCCACCGCTCCAGTACAGTCGGATGTCAAACAGACCGTCCACAGACTGTTAGTGTGGGAACTCAGAGGGTTGAGACACGGTCTGTGGGAACACAGACAGTGGAATGTAAAGTGTCCGCCATTTCTGTTGCTACACAGTTGGCCCGGGGAACACTGAAATCGGCACACGTGAGAAGCAAAGGTAGACTATAACACTGACAAATCACAGATACATTACCTTCATTGTGCTTTTATTACATGTACAGCACTTGGGCTCGACCAAACATCTTTTTCAAATGTGCTCTATAAATAAAACCTTATTTGATATTATTGTATATCACAGAAATACTGTTATGTTGACTACAAGAAATACAGTGCTGTTTGTAGTTTGTACACATCTTTCAAAAGTGTTGGCACTAAAACTTCCACCTACACAGAAATCCCCTTGTCCTCTACACCAATAAAGGGCCCAGGATTGGGACCTAGCAAGAGACCTCGACTAGAGTTGGAGCAGGAACAAGGAGAGACTTCGATTGAATTTGAAGAGACTCTGGATTCGAGTTACCACCCTGATGATACTGTAGAAGAATCTGACGTATCGTAAGTTTGGTATATTTGGTACACATTACTTTTACTGTTGTTCAGAGTTGACATCTAACATGTATTGTTAATTTTGTTTTGTTACATTAGACTTCAGACACGATCCACGCACAGTACATTGTGTTTGAAAGCTGCCTCGGACAGCTGTTTGAAAAATGTCCGTTTTGTAAGACTTTTGTGGCGTTCAAACAGCGTTGTCCAAACTGCACTTACTTCAGACAATGGGAGAGCCAGCCCATCATTGGAAGTACCCCGGTTGGCAACTTACAATTATCTGCTGCTACATACTTCACTGGTGCTTCCTTCTTCCAACTAAAAAAGGTATTTTACCATCTTACGCATATGAAAAATGACAGAAGCGGACTTTTTCAAATACTTGTCCTGTTTTTCTATTTATTCATAGATATGCAGAGCCATGCAGCTGGAGATCTTCCAGTATGAGACCTTCAGGAGGCATGCTAGGCATTATCTGGAGCCTGCTATTATCCACAAGTGGAAAACTGATCAGCTGAAGATTTTCCAGCAACTACACCACCAGGGGGGAAAGGTCACAGTTGCAGGAGATATGAGAGCAGACTCTCCAGGTAAGCAGAAACAGACAAGACAGTCTAGTGCCAGAGTTACTGGTGTATATTACAATTCATCGAACTTATCCATTGAAATTCTGTTGAAAAGTCTTGAAACCTCCTGTATTATATTTTCTTCAGGCCACTCAGCTAAGTTTGGGAGCTACACACTAATGCACCTGGGAAGCAACACCATTGTGGACTTCCAGCTTGTTCAGGTGGGATTCTCTTTCTGGGTGTAATTTTAGGCGTGCTGGCTGTTGATGCTGAACACTGAATTACACTGAATTATCTGTACAATGAAAGAATAAAAGAGAAATGAATAAGTGTATACAAATAATTAATTATTATATGAATGTTATATTTTTCAGTGTACGTGGGTGAGCTGATGAGGCTGGTGTTTGAAGAAGTCTTTGAGGACCCAACACCCTTTGTGGAGGAGATGAATAAAATCAACATCAATCCACTCAATTTGACAGGCCCTCAAAGGAGGAAGTGGTAGCCCGCCATGTCTCACGTTTTAGTCTAGGGGCGGTCGGAAGCCCACGTACTGTCCAGCCAGATCAGGGAACTCCTGGCGTATCCGGCGGACCACACACGACGGGATGACCACTGTGATTCCTCGTCCCAAAAAGCCCCAGCACCAGCTTACGAAGCTGCGATAGGCCAGATGCCTAAAACGCCTATAAGAGGAGGAATGGATGATAACATATATGTGCTGTCCTGTTTTTCACCCTTACCCTCTGGCTGCTTGAACAACTGAATTTCCCCACAGGGATTAATAAAGGTCCATCTTATCTCATACAGTGTATATATACACATGATCAATTTGTACATTTATCAAAATAAAGTTTGATGGAACTACTTGATAGCCTTTCTTCCCTGAATTATTTGCTCCTAGATCATTCATATATAGCAAACCATTATTTGATTTTTCATTTATTTTTCATTTATTTATTTATTTTATTTTATTATAGCTAAAAATAACTTACTCTTCTTAAGTTCTACGCCTCAAAGGTCCATAATCAAACCGATAAATATTGTGGAGATTCTGCAGGGTGTAGGGATTGAGGCAGTTTGGTTCTAGTCCGGGGTGGTCAACCATGCACACAATGGGTTCTGGGACTTGGTGCATTCGTGTTAAAACCTATAGGAGGATAAGATATTTGTAACATAATATGTTTAGCAATTAAATCCAACTATGGCGAGGATTACAAAATAAACATTCAATTACTATAGAATAAATAAAAGGGCATATAGTCTATTGACTTGACAAGTATGTATGGTGTATATAATGTTGTGTGCTACTGTTGGTGTTTTTGTATTTGTTGTGGTGACACCCTGTTTTGACCATAATTCACCTTTGGTATAGTGTTGCCACACGGACCCTTTAGTGTGTGCTCTTAGGTTTAGCTTGTCATTCCTAGCTTGTCAGACAGAGCAGACATGTATTTTACCTGATTCTAAACACACCGCCCCCGACTCCCTTTCATCGGCACTACACTGTCACCTTTCTAATCTCCCTGCAACAGAGGTTTTCCACCTCGGTAGGCATTACTGCGCAGTTTCCACACGTGCACCTAAATAACAACAGTTGGAAAGTTTGGTTAGTCAGCGGACACACTTGTTACTGTGATGTAGATAAATGATGAAGTTCTAACATTACATCTGAAATGTAGCAGCTATACAAAATTAAAACGTTCCACTGTGAAACCGCCTGCTGTATTCTTGTTTGGGACGGTGGATCAGGTCCATCACGGTCCGTTTCACTCTCAGGGTCGGACTCCGGTTCGTACATATATGGCTTTACTGACGCGATTTCATTTCTGCTACTCCGCTCAGAGCCGAAAAAACACCATGGGCTAAGTACCCGCTAAACCACTTTACGGCAGATGTCAACAGGGGCAGAGCCTCTCTGGTGGTTGACAAATCAGAACAGAGGGGCCGAGCTGACCAATCGGAGCACACTGGGCTCACAGGGAGGGGGGGGCAAGAGCTGCAACGAGCCATTTAGTGGAGAGAGTGAATACACATAGTTTACAGAGATGCTGTATGCGAAACAATGTGAGTTTGGAAAATTGCACAGTATAAATCTATTCTAGTAGACATCAACAATGGAATTATGATCAGTGGAAATGGCCATGACATGTGACCTTTAACTTTTTTGAGAACCAGAGAAAAGGGGTGAAAATGGAAAAAGGTATCCGAAAATAGTGTCTCATAAGGCGGGTAGAGTCCCCTGACAACTCTCCTTACATTCCTCCAGAGTCAGAAAACGTCTGAGTTAACTTTTGGGAGAACCAGAGAAAAGGGGTGAAAATGGATAAATTGTATCCGAAAATAGTGTCTCATAATTCCCTGACAACTCCCCTTGCATTCCTCCAGAGCAGGGGTTCCCAAACTTTTTCAGCATGAGACCCAAAACAGAAATATTGTGGTCCTAAGGGACCCAAGCTAAAAAAAATTCATGATTTTCCATAATATCTATATTTATAAACAAAGAATGCAACACACCATGAATTTAAAATGTAAATGAAAATGTGTATTTAATTATAAAAGTGCATCGCAGCAATTAGGTTTCTCACCATAACAACCTTCCCTTTGAGCTTGCCCAGAAAAAATAAGGATCAAAGCAGAAAGACGAAACATGGGAAGTGCAGTCAAGTGTATACAGTACAGGTGAAACCACATTTAAATGATCAGAAGTGCAACATTAAGTTTGTCACTAGATCAAAAACTATGTACACACATTTTTTAAACACTTTTAAATGAACAGAGCTGTTGTAAAACACTCTGAGAGACAAAGAAACTCTAACAACTGATTCACTTTACTGACTTATTTACAATATGTTCTTATCTGACATGCTAGAAGGGGTATTATATCATATATTGATACATGATATAATATAATAACAATTACATCTAATGAGAGGTATGTGGCTGGTTGAAGTTTTCAACCAGCAGATCTATTCTGGGCTGGGTTTTTGACAGTGCCAATCTGAGGTCATGCTCAGGATTTAGCCTGTATCTGTATTTGTTTTTCAGGTATGCTAAAGTAGAAAACTCAGATTCACACAAGTATGTGGCGCCAAACTGTATCAATACTTGTACAGCTATCTTAGCCAAGCAGGAGAACTCAGCCTGCTGGAAATGAGCAACCCAAAACTGTGCCAAAGGGGTTGTTTCAAACAGCATCTTACTGCCCCTGTTGACCTGCAGTGTGACCAGTGCCTCTAACTCTGCCTGACTGAGACCCAGGTCTTGTGATGGCCCAGCTTGGAAGGGAAACTTCACCCACTGAAGGTTTTGGGCTCTCTGTGAGTCAGGGAAGTACCGCTTGAAGTTCTCCTGTAGTTGAGACAAGTGCTCGACTATGTTTTGCTTCACAGAGTCTCAAGGGAAGACCGGTGCTTACTTGGTAGGCAGTGAGAACAGGAAACATTGCCAGTTCTCCTGCAACCAGCTGGGAATGCCACAGACCAAGGCGTGCTTCAAATCCTTGTATTCCATCTTCAAGATCCAATATGCTGTTCTCTTTTCCTTGAAGGCTGGTGTTCAGCATGTTGAGCTTGTTAAAAATGTCCACAAGGTAGGCAAATCTTGCCAACCAGCGCTTGTCCTCAAAATGCTTGACAAGGTTAGCGTCCTCATTTTTCAGGTAAGCCATGACCTGCTCTCTCAGCTCCCACACTCTCTGTAGAACTTTTCCCTTGGAGAGCCACCGTACCTCACAGTGGAAGAGTAGGTGCTCATGCTCTGCCCCCATTTCCTTGCAGAACTCTCTGAAGAGCCTTGATTGTAGTGGTCACTTTTTTATTAGATTTACCACTCTAACAACCACATCAAGAACCTCACCTAAGTCCTGTTGCAATGCTTTGCTAGCCAAAGCCTCCCTGTGGATAATACAGTGTGTTACCTTCACATTTGGGACCACTTTACGTACATGAGCCACAAAACAAGACCTGCACCCAGTCATGCTCCTTGCACCATCAGCGCAAAACCCAATACAGTTTTCCCATTCTAATTTCAGTTCTTTCAAATGTGTGTCCACCACTCTGAAAATATCCTCTCCCCTTGTTGTTGTGTGCAGCTGGTCACAGAATAGGAACTCCTCCTTGATATCTTTACCACTAATGTATCTGGCAAAGACCATTAACTGGGGAATCCCAGCAACATCCACAGACTCGTCTAGCTGCAGTGAAAATAATTTGCGCTGCAGCATTTCCTCTGTGACTATTTTTTGGATGTCAGCTGACATATCCTTGATTCTGGATGCAACGGTGTTGTTTGAGAGTGGGACAGACTCAATTTTGTTCGCTGCATCCTCACCCAAGACAGAGAGACACACATCTTTAAGACAAGGCTTTATCAGCTGCTCCCCGATGGAATGGGGCTTCTTTGCTTTGGCAATGTGGAGGCTGACTTTATATGATGCCCTCAGTGCCCCTCTGTTCCCTTTGAATGCCTGCAAATAACAGAGAAGATATCATCATTAACATTGCTGGGTTATTGGGTGATTTTTAACACCAGCCGGTGTACGCTGTATACCCAATGTGGACCTGGCAACCGCATTTATAGCACATTACATGACATGTGACATTTCACGAGCGCACAGAAACAGCCTGAGTGCGAGGAGAAGGTTTTAAGCTGGAACACAGGAAATCTGTAAGCAGCAATATATCTGAGTGCAAGCTACAGTTTGAGCAGAAGCAGAGCACATCTAAGCGCAAGCAGGCACTATTTGAGTGCGAGGACAGGGTTTGACAAACACACAAATCAAATGATTAAAATGAGTGACTTACTTATCCGCCGTCAAAACACTGCTTCTTGAACGACTCTTCTTTGCAGATGAAAACATCCTTCGATGTGTCCCGATGCAGAGGATGTTTTGTTTGGAGATGCCGGTCCAATTTATTCATTTTCAAGCTTTCGTTACTGAGCACCTCTCCACATAAAACACACTGAGGCCGCTCTTCTCCATTTCTAACAGCTTTTGTGAAGCCAACGTTTAAAAACTCTTCTTTGTATCGTCTTTTTGCCATCATGTACGATCGGGATTAATCAACAGACAATAGACAATAAACAGACGGCGCGAAAACTTTCGCGGGGGACGCGTCAGAGCTGATACAAATACAATCTTTTATTTTTTGTTTATTTGTATTTAGAAAATGAAATCATTCAATATACAATGCTATATTGCATAATTTCATTTTCAAAATAAAAAATAAAAATAATTAAAAAATGGTATTTGCAGCGCAGCCATCAGCTCTGACGCTGTGTGCATTTAACATGGCGAACCAATCAAAACGGGTCGCGACCCATTTTGGGTCGCGACCCTGAGTTTGGGAAAGGCTGCTCCAGAGACCAGTTCAAAAACTTAAAGTTTGGTAAGAACCATGCTGGGGGGTCTCCGTGCAACAATTGTATCCGAGCCAGAGCACACATGGAGCGGATCCATTCCTCCATGAAGTGATACAGCCGTTTTTTGCGTGTGCTCTTAAAAACCGGGTTTCCGATATCGTGCAGATGGTAGCTTGAAAATGATGAATGCATTTTTTTGACGGAGTAGGGGAGGCTTGGGTTCCCCTCTCCGTTGTAAGTTGCAACGGGGGAGTACAAAAGTGTCCAGGGCTTCGGCCCGAAGGGTTGGCTCTTTCTCTGTTGGCACTTAGTGGTTTTTTGGAGAATTTTTTAAAACTTCATTTTTGATTATTTTAAGATATAATTGACCATTTTCTTTACATTTCTTTCCACGGGTGGGGGCGCATGGCAAATGAGCTCCCAAATTTGGCCTGGAACCTCCGGGAATTGTGGGCTAAGCTTCATAAACTGACAAAGTCACGCAGAAATGTCACTTTTATAGCCCA